CCGACAGGGCTTCGCCAAGCACGTACGGAGGAGGAGAGGTGTTGGGGAGGGGAGGGGCTGCGCCTTGGCTTGTCGTCGTGCTGCCCTCCCCTCACCCCTCTATTTATAGGGGAAGGGGCAAGGGGGGGCGGCCCCTCTAGATGGGATCTAGAGGGGGGGGGGCGGCGGCCAGGGAGGGGTGGCTTGCCCCCCAAGCAAGGGGGGTGCGCCCCCCTTACGGTTTCCCCCCAACCCTAGGCGCATGGGCCCAAGGGGGGGGGCGCCCAGCCCACCAGGGGCTGGCTGCTATCCCACGCAGCCCATGTGGCCCCCCCGGGAGGGGTGGCCCCTCCCGGTGGACCCCCGGAACCCCTCCGGTGGTCCCGGTACAATACCGGTATGACCCCGAAACTTTCCGGTGTCCGTTTGACAACTTCCCATATATAAATCTTTACCTCCGGACCCTTCCGGAACTCCTCGTGACGTCCGGGATCTCATCCGGGACTCCGAACAACATTCGGTAGTCACATACAAGTCTTCCTAATAACCCTAGCGTCACCGAACCTTAAGTGTGTAGACCCTACGGGTTCGGGAGACACGTAGACATGACCGAGACGGCTCTCGGGCAATAACCAACACCAGGATCTGGATACCCATGTTGGCTCCCACATGCTCCTCGATGATGTCATCAGATGAACCACGATGTCGAGGATTCAATCAATCCTGTATGCAATTCCCTTTGTCAATCGGTACGTTACATGCCCGAGACTCGATCGTCAGTATTCCAATACCTCGTTCAGTCTCGTTACCGGCAAGTCACTTTACTCGTACCGTAATGCATGATCCCGTGACCAAACACTTGGTCACCTTGAGCTCATTATGATGATGCATTACCGAGTGGGCCCAGAGATACCTCTCCGTCATACGGAGTGACAAATCCCAGTCTCGATCCGTGTCAACCCAACAAACACTTTCGGAGATACCTGTAATGCACCTTTATAGTCACCCAGTTACGTTGTGACGTTTGGTACACCCAAAGCACTCCTACGGTATCCGGGAGTTACACGATCTCATGGTCTAAGGAAGAGATACTTGACATTGGAAAAGCTCTAGCAAACGAACTAACCGACCTTTGTGCTATGCTTAGGATTGGGTCTTGTCCATCACATCATTCTCCTAATGATGTGATCCCGTTATCAACGACATCCAATGTCCATAGCCAGGAAACCATGACTATCTGCTAATCACAACGAGCTAGTCAACTAGAGGCTCACTAGGGACATATTGTGGTCTATGTATTCACACGTGTATTACGATTTCCGGATAATACAGTTATAGCATGAATAAAAGACTATTATCATGAACAAAGAAATATAATAATAACACTTTTATTATTGCCTCTAGGGCATATTTCCAACAGGGGACTCCATCAGATGTGTCTCTCCTTCTGCTTTGTCCATGTTGCTGTGGCGTTGTCTCCGACGTCATGGTGGAGCAGGGAGGTTTTGTCGTCCGGGAGTACGCGCAGACGGCGGCCTGCGCAGTTGACAGCTGGAAGATGGTGCATCCTGTGATGGGTGTGTGGTTGGAGGGTGACAGCTCTGGTTTTCTCCTCCGACGTTGTAGTCGTGCGGGGGATGTCAGGTCTGGAGTTCGATGGCGTGTCCGGGGACACGTTGCCCCGGTCTGATTCTTTCAACGGCAATGATTTTGCTTTTGGCAAACTACTTTGGAGGTCCGTAAAGCTGCACATCAGTGATGGAGCCGCGTCGAGCTCGGGTGAAGAGGTGATTTGTCTTCTCTCTCTTGGTGGTCGCTTCGCTGATGCCGAAGGAGAGGAACATACGCTGGTTTTTTGTGTAGGATTATCCTATCCTTTCAGTATTGTAATGTCGGTGATTACGTGTCTTGTAATCGGATCTTTATTTTATGAATGAGAAACGTATTACCTTGCAAAAAAAAGCTTCACGTCTTCTTTTTATTTTTCTACTATATGGAAGCCTCACGTGTTCTGGTTGTATTTCAACACTGTTTTTTCTTCGAACCTAAGAAAAAATCTCTTCGCCCCCCACGCGGGGCCCTCCCGGGGCGACACGGGCGGCGGCGACTCCACACGCCACTCCAGCGCTCCCCTTCCATTCTCCTTCTATCTCACCGTCGCCGATGGTCTCCGATGGGCAAAGCCCAAGCGGAGCTGGTGACGGCGGGGCCCCTTCTCCTCGCTGGCAGGCGCTCGTGAGGCTTTCATATAGTAGAAAAAAGAAAAAGAAGACGTGAAGCTTCGTGAACAAGTAGAATACGATTTACTCGGCCCCTTTTCTTCCACGCCTCCTCCGTCCTCGTTCCTCACCAAAGCCTAGACTAGAATCCCCACACCCCACGAGCGATCAACCCAGATCCCAGCCCCGCCGACCGCCCCAAAGCCCTAGATCGACTGATCGAACGCCCGCTGGACCCGATGAGCTCGTCGTCGCTGCCCTCGGCGGCGGAGGAGGTGCTGACGGCGCCGGGCTTCCGCTTTATATGAGACAAGACATGTGCTTGTTAGTGATTTATTTGGATTATTGTAGTGCCACTTAGTGCTTTATGATGTGTTCTTCATGTGTTCTTAGTGCTTTTGAATTTAACCAACGAAGACCGACTGCGGCGGGAACAAAAATTTAAATCTCGGGAAACACGGGCGCACTACATTGTGAAACGGAGGGGGTAATATCTGCTCAGTGTTTATATTTGTATCACATATATGGGGCGAGTAATCTGCGCCGGTGCGCCGGCCGAATGTTTCGGCCGGTCGCACCGCAGCCGCCCGATGCATGCGCGCAGAGCCGTCCGATCTGATCCCATCTTCTTTCTTCCCGTCGTCTTCAAGCTGAGTTAACGTGCTTCCCCCTGATTACTCGCCATCCACCATACCCCAACCACGCGTGCTCCCGCGTCCTTGTCGGGCGTCCTCGCCGCTGGTCGCCGGCTATCCTTGCCGCCGGTCGCCGTCGCCGCCGCCAATCGCCGTCCTCGCAACACCCGTGCTCGATGGTTCCAGCGAAGAGACCTCATCGCAGCACTCCGTCCTCACCTGTAGCAAACGCCGTCGTCGTAAGACTGCCGACCCCTTCGTCGTTGCTGCAATTAACCGCCGCCGTCGTAGCACTGCCATGCCGCCAGCCGCGTCTCCCCGCTCGCACATCGTCATCATGCCGCCGCCTAGTGGAAGCTTTTTTCCTTGTGGGTTGAAGCTTTTTATTTCCCGGTTGAAACATTTTCCACGTTTGAAGCTTTTCTTCCAGGCCCATTGAAGCTTTTCCATGGTTGAAGCTTCTTCATTCAACGGTTGAAGCTTTTTCACACAGCGGTTGAAGCTTTTTCACACAGCGGTTGAAGCTTTTTCCAGCATCGCTCGTAAGAATATTTTCCATGGTTGAAACTGTTCTCCCACCCCCATTGAAGCTTTTTCTCATGGTTTGAAGCTTTTTCCTTCGCCCGTTGAAGCTTTTTTACACACCGGTTGAAGCCTTTGCCGCGCAAGTCCAATTTTTTCCACGGGTTGAAGCTTTTTTTGTTTATGATTTTTCATGGTTGAAGCATTTTTTATGTCGGTTGAAGCTTTTTTCCTTGCCGCTTGAAGCTTTCAGCAGTATGCCTGTTTGCCGGTCAGAATACGCCTTGTTTTTGGTAGCAAAAATCCACGCTGGATGCAGCTATTTTTTCGGCCGGTTCCAGCTCAAATCCACGCTGGTTGCAGCACCGGTCGCCTCTCATTTGAAGCTTGTCACTGAGATCCACCTCGCCGCTCGTAGCATCTAGTCTCGTCCGTTTTTAGCTTCTGAGCTGGACCGGTTCCAGCGTTTTGGCCGGCAGGTTGCAGCAAAAATAGATGCTGGTTCCGGCATCGCAGGGCTCCCCCTGTCGTCGTGTCCATCTCCGATGAGAGATGGTCGTCGGGGATCACGGGATTCAGGGCGAGCCGTGGCCCATCAGAGAAAGGAAAAGGGAGGAGGGAGATTGAGGGCGAGGGGGTGGGGGGAGGAGGAGGAGGAGGAGGGTCACAGCAGCGAAGGCAGTGGTGCGGGACAGGGACCGGAGTTGCGGCGGCGCTGGTGGTGCAGGACAGGGAACGGAGTTGTGGGGATGGGGCAGGGGAGCTGAGCGATGGAGAAGGAAGAAGGATATGTGCTGCAGATAAGGGAAGGGGTGCGCTGTTTCTGGCCGCATGATTACGATCCATCTCGCGGCTTGCGTGAGACCGGCGTAACAGTTCGGCCGGTGCCCCGGCTCGAAACGTTTCCCTAAAAGGACACACAGATTAAACAACTCAGTCCTCATCCAAATCGAAGACAGTATCACGTTCCAATCAAACCAAACCGTACTAGCAAAACGCACGAGAGCCTTCCAGAACAACAAGCACCAGACGTAAATTTTCATCATAAAAAAGAAGAGAAAAAAAAGGGGGGGAGAGGACGCGTCCCCTTTTCTTCCACGCCTCCTCCCCACCCAAGAACCCGACTTTTCTTCCTTTCTTCTTTCCTCCCTGCCTCCTCGCGCTCCCCTCCACCTCCAACCAACCCAAACCAAACCCTAGATCGATCCTAAGCCCCCGACGCCCGAATTCCCCGCTAGATCGATCACTGGATCCCATGGCCGGCTCGCCCCCGCCGGCGGAGGAGGTGCCGATGGCGCCGGGCTTCCGCTTCCACCCGACGGACGAGGAGCTCGTCTCCTACTACCTGCGCCGCCGCGTCCTCGGCCGCCGCCTCCGGATCGACGCCATCGCCGAGGTCGACCTCTACCGGCTCGAGCCCTGGGACCTGCCGCCGCTCTCGCGCATCCGCAGCCGCGACGCGCAGTGGTACTTCTTCGCGCGCCTCGACCGCAAGGTGGCCGGCGCCGGCGCCGGCGGCCGCGGGGGCCCAGGGAACCGCACCAACCGCGCCACCCCGCGCGGCTACTGGAAGACCACCGGCAAGGACCGCGAGGTGTTCCACCGCGGCCGCGCCGTCGGCATGAAGAAGACCCTCGTCTTCCACGCCGGCCGCGCCCCCAAGGGCGACCGCACCAACTGGGTCATGCACGAGTACCGCCTCCTCGACAACGACGGGCCCCAGGTGCCTCCGTCGCCCCCCCAATCTCCTCTTGTTGCCGCTGCTAAGTTTGTTGTCATGCAGCCCTGTCTGAGGATGAACCTGGTTGATTTACTTGCTAGAGTGGGTCGTGGGTGGTTAGTTGACAATCTAAAGTTTACAGATTTAGCAATCGTTTCCTAAATAATCATCCCCTGAGAAAGCAGGGGATGCCGTGTTAAGTTTGCTGTAGCCTGCAATGTGAATCCACACTGAATTTGATAGTCTAGGTGTTAGTAGCGATGAGGATGAACTGTCTATCTCAACAATCTTGGTAATTCTTGACCAGAAGCTTGTGTTTGTGCCGTGCGGCTAGTCTCGGTGCTAATATTAGCGATGAGGATGGACCTGATATGCTTACCAGAGTTGGCTATGCTTTGATTGTCAACTGCCTAGCTCTACAATCTTAGTAGTAATTCTTAACCAGAAGATTGTGTTTTTCAGAGGATGGATCCTGTATAATTGCCAGAGTGGGTTTTAGTTTGATGATGATTCACTATCTAGCTCTATCTTGCATGGAGTGGAGCCTCACCATGGGAGGGGAATTCAGCAAATATCACTCCAAATCAAAGTGGTATTTCCTGAAATCTCAATCTTAGGTGAAGACCCCTCACTAAATCATCATCTCTTTGGATACAAGGGGGTAGTGTATCAGCTTATCTGTGGCTATGTAAGCAAGGGCATTCCTTGTTGCATGGAAGTGTAGAGGAGGTCTTTTGCGTCAGTTTTCTTGTTCCACTTCCGTAGCATCAGTAGTATCATAATGAAGGAGATGATCTTTGCAGATGACAAATTTGTTTTTACATGGTTAGATGGCTCGGAACATGCTTTGCATGCAGTTAATTGCTTCTCTTGTTTAATGTTATGTCATGATGATATTGATTAGTTTTCTTTAATCTACTTTAACTCACTGCACATATTCCTTGTACTTGACAACATTGATCTGAGACAATGTTTGTCCTTCTCTTTGGTTCTTGAACAATAACTTTGTAGCACACATTATTGTGCGCATGCTATTGTCACATGTTTCTGGGAGCTTTCCCATTTTGTGTGCGGTTAAAATGCAGAATTCCTCTGATGTTATGATGTTTATTCCCCTTCTGGGTGCGCAGGATATGCATGTGGTGTGTAGAATCTTCCAGAAGGTTGGATCTGGGCCTCAGAATGGAGCACAGTATGGTGCACCATACATGGAGGAGGAATGGGAAAATGAGGATGATGCAATTGAGAATACACCTACCAGTGGTACATCCACTGAAATGCTTGCGATCACAGATACTGCTAGTGCGGAATCAAATGTGGAAGATGAGCACATATTTTCTGGAATTAATGAGCGTGTGCAAGTAAGATCATGTCTTTGTTATCCTTCTGTGAGATATTAGTTAGCTAGAATCGGAAACTAGAGCCCAGTTCACATGCTACCGTATCTGTTTACGACCGAACGATAATAGTTTAGCTAATTAACTATATTACATGTATGCCTCTTTAGTTGGCTGCTGAACCCAGTCTTCACTCAAGTTGAGCACTGAAAACTAATTAGGTTACATATATCATACAAATTCTTTTCTTTTTCATTATTGACATTTTCCTGTGCATAGGTACCATTCCGCCTATTGTGTGGAAATTGTTCCTGTTACCAACTATCCAGTGCTCTGTGAACCATTTTCTATTGATTGTGTTTGAACACACCAATATTTACTTTGTTACTGTTTTCCATCATTCAGACCCCAGAAGTGCTCATCCCACAAGAAATTGCTCCTCTCCAAGCAATCGCTCCTCCCCAAGCTCAAGATTTTAATGGGACTGGCATGGTCAGCTATGCTGACGGTGATGTTCCTCTGGACGAGATTTTGCAGGAGCCTGTGTCAGATGTCAGTGCTGACAATACAGGTGAACCTGAAGAGCAGAGTCCCCTTGATGATCATTTCAGTCTTGCGGATTTGTCTGGATGCCCAAATCAAGATGATGGATATGTACGTCAGGCTGGCCCTATCATGTTTAGTGACCCATCAAATGGTGATCAGGCATATTATCCAATGAGAACTTATGGTAATCGAAACCATGCCTATCGGGCTCTTAGTGCCGAGGAGTTCTCCGACACAGGAAATGGTACCAATGCGTATTCAGGACAGCAGCAAGCTTGTCCTTCAGATGAGCAGAACTTGTATTCAGGACTGCAGCAAGCTTGTCCTTCAGATGAGCAGAACTTGTATTTGCCAACCAATGGTCTGCCATTTCCACAGCAAATGGATGACAACGCGCCGTTTTATGAGGCATCAAGCGATCACAAATGGGAAAATGGAAAGGATGATTATGTAAATGTGGATGACATTTCTCTCTTTGAGGATGATGATATCATGGCTCTCTTAAATGCCTCAGACAACGATTTCAGTTTAGATCTTTTGGGCCCAGTTGACGGATCTAATTCTCAACTTCCAGCAGCATCGAACTTTGACCAAAAGGTATGCTTCACAACAGTAACAAGTTTCTCTTACTTTATATTCCTAAACAAAAAGTCTAGGCTAATAATTAGTTGCTGGTGTTCACCGGAACTTCCGTGTTCACCTATGGTGCTACTTCTCTGCAGGATGAAGCAAAGGCTCAATATGGCGCGTCTTCGTCTGGTTCCCGTGAGAACCTTTATCCAGACACCATGGTTCCAGGTACAGTTTTAAGATATTCAGATCTGTGCTTCCAGATTCTTCTTAGGCAATCGGTGTATACACACTGGACGACCTCACCATTTATAAAATTCTGTGTATTTTGTTGCTCCAGATGTGCCAATGGATGACAATGCTGGCAAAAGATACTTCACAAACATGCTGGGTTCATACCCAGCCCCACCTGCAATGGCTTCTGAATTCCCGCCAACCACAGGAAAATCCATCGCTGCGCTCAGCGGGCCTAGTCAGATTCGTGTCACGGCGGGCATCGTCCAGCTCGGCGACCACAGTTTCACCGGCAACGAGGGCAGCTGGCCCCTGCAGAAGAACGGAGTCTTCAACCTGCTCCTTTCTTTCACCGTGGAGAACAACGTGTCAACGAAGTCCATTACTTTCGACGACGAGCCAGCTGCTACACGGGTGAACACCGTCCCGATGGTGCTGCGCGGCGGCCTATACCTCTTCTTTGTCTCGGCCATGATCCTCATGTTGAGTTTCAAAGTAGGGTCCTGCATCTACAGCAGGTAAGTTAAGAGCCCGCCCTTGGGGCCGTTCTTATTTTGGTTTAGCGGAACTATACATGGCGCCCCCTCGACGACGGCGTGGGAGCAAATGACTCGGAAGACAGTTTTACTTTTACGCACTTAGTTTGTCATGTCATACGATCCTGACTTGGTGAAAGGTATAGTAAAGCAATAAGCTCTTGAACTGGAGAAAGCCCGGTCGCTTTGCACGCGCTCGGTGCTGGGACCTTTGTGCTTCATCCTAGGACCTGTAATTTATTCTGTTTATTTGGTCGCTGCTCAGAGTGTTTGGAAACCCGAAAGATGTAACATTGATTATAAACATGGTATCTCTTGGTTGTTTGGCGTGTTGATTTTCCGTCTCTTGGCACCAATGCTGGATGCGGCCGGCTATTTATCAGTGTTGTCTGCATTTACAGCAACGGAAGATTGCCGATGTTTCTGGATAACAGTTTTTGCATTTAAGCATCCAATTTTTTGGTTCTGTTTGATTGCCATGAAGCCATGGAAGAGGGAATGATAGGGAGTTTTTGCATGAACGTTGTTCCTCTCGTCTCGTCTCTTCCTTTGAGTCCATTGCTCCTACGATGACATGGCAGGGCGGAGCTCTGTTTTAGAGATTGCCGATGTAGGTCAATATCTTGCTGGAAAATACACACCCTTATACGAATATTAATCTAAAAAACAAGAAAAATGGAAAAAATCTAACATTTGGGGATATGAAACGTGGGTTCTCAACCTACTCCTGTGTGAAATTTTGCGAAAAAATACTAGGAAATGTATACATGGCGAAGAAAATATTGTCCGAACAAAAATCCATCCACAGTTTTGTTCTATACATTGGAATTTTTTGTTTTTTCTTGCCACCAACATGTTTCATGGATTTTTTAACGAAATTTCACGTGGAAGTAGATCGGGACCCCAGGTTCTCTATCCCAAAATCTCAGATTTTTTTAATTTCCCGGTATTTTTTTAATTTAATGTTCGTATAGGGGTGTGGAGCGGTATTTTTTTTAAAAAAAATTAATGTCCATATAGGGGTGTGGAGCACCCGGGTGCTACAAATCTGCTTCCATATCTTGCCCTGTTATTTAGTTTTGGGTGCTTACACAACAGCTCAAGTTCTTCCTGCCGTCGTGGCAAGGAAGCATGTAGGGAGGCAGTCTGGAGTCCAAACCCTGTGCATCCTCTTGCAAGAACGGTAGAGCATTTCCAGTGGCAGCAATCGTGTTGGAAATTCAGTTTTCATCTTTGGGTAGTGGTTCTTTATACAGGTGTGTTCCTAGTGAACACTAGCAGCAAAGCTGCTTTCAAAGAAACGAACAACAAAAGTAGACCAAGAATCTATTCCCGACATCTTCCAGATGCCCAGCACATTGCTCCTGATCTCGACGGACACATATATTCGCGCAGAAAGTCAGATGCTCAGATGCTCTTCCACAGCGGGACGTCGGTGGATTCTCCATCCTCCATAACCCAGCCATGCCACCTTTATTCCCAGAATAAAGACATGGTTTGTGCTTATGCTTGAAAATAATCCAGCCCTCCAGAAGACTCTCTGCGGATGCCCTCATTCCTCGTTCTGTACACAGGCCCGCCAGTGGTGGAAGATCATGCCATGCCTGGGGTTGGAGCGTTCGCCGGAGTGATGGTTGGCCGAGGCGCTACGAGTTCTCGGGGAAGACGGTCTGGATGAACTTGAGGAAGCGCTCCGAGTAGAACTCGGGGTCGACCGCGGAGATGGACACCGAGTCGTACTGCATCGACTTGACGGCGTGCTCGATCTTCTTGGTGATGTTGTACTCCTGCAGGATGTCGATGATGCCCAGGTAGAGCACCACGTCGTACACCTCGTAGAACGACTTGCTGTCGTCCTCCTTGGGGATCTGCTCCGCCCTCGCGGGCATGTTCACGCCCAGCTGGATCTGAACCCTGCCAAAAAAAAGGGAGATGCCCAGTCACCAAAAGCTCCCACTCTGTGTGTGTTGGTTCAGAGCCATATCTGTTACAGGAGTAGTGATAGAAATGACCCTCACCTAGCTGTGCCAGGAAGCAGGAGATCCACTTCCCCAAATCCAGCAGCCGACGACCGCAATCGGCTTCCCCTTATGTGAGGCCCAACGACCACACTGTTCTCGTCGTTTGCTCTTTGAACCAGAACCAATCCTTCTGGGTAGTTAAAAGCATCATCCTCCTGGGCATCTGTACAAGAAAGATCATTGTGGACGATGAAAATATGTTCTCCCGGTCATATCATTAACAAGAATTGAACATACAACTGCAGGCGGTAAATATACAACAGAAAAAAGAAAAAGAACATGGCATATCACATGAAGGAGCAAGTATCAAATTAATTTGTGCGTCTCAGCATGTATCCCTTGGAAGACACAACTGACAGCAACCTGACTCAACGAGATCTATCCTCGGACAACGCGTACAAAGTTCATGCACGGGTCTGTTGGGTTATTTTTTATGGGCGGTTAGGATCATGAACCACATGCACAGCTCAATGAAAGCACTCTCATCCAGAACACCAGTGACGGCCTGCTGAAAAACCCAGTGACACGACGAATGGGCACAAAACATGCTATGATCCGGTAGTGACACTATGACACCCACTGGCGGATCTACTCTAAAGCAAATGGGTTAGTACTATGAATAGCTGCAATGTTTATTATACCCGCAAAGAAGATCACTGGAACTGAAAAAAATAACATATATCCCATAGAAGTAGTAACATGTTGATAGAACCCATTAACCGGCAGGTAAAGGTGTGTTTTACCTTCCTCTGAAAGAACTGTCAATCTCTCTGCTGTCATGGTTCGACGATATGAAGCACGTGTCCGTAGATGCTGAGGAGCTCTGTAATGGACACCAAGCAGTAGACTGTAATCCATTATCCGTTGTGACTTCAGAAATTCGCTATCGGTCTTTATCTGCCTGAAAGAAGAAGAACGACAACGCGTGAAACACTATAATAAGGTGAAACTTGATCATACTACATAAGTGCTCTCAGGGAGAAAAGCAAACACAATAATGCTATGATACAAAATGAGAGCAGAAACATTGCACATTTCTTGGTCAATTGATGCAAAATTACTTTTAGGCAAAAATTCTGCACAGAAATCTGAAAAATGACTACAACACACACTGTACTGGACGTTAACTGCATATTTAAGAGAAATCTCTTCATAATATTTTTTATATTTATCATCTCTATCTTTGCTAACAAGGTGATGACATATTTCAGCAAGTACCAGTACACTTAATTTCAACATCTACATTTATTATATACTAGCTGAACAACAACGCAACGCGAAACACATCACCAAATACAATGCAGTTATGCCACAAAACCATATCTTAGTAAGAAAAGACGATTTTCAGAGTAACCACACTCACTTAAGTAGAGCCTCTCGCCAAGAAGGTTCCAGATAAAAGGAATAGTTCAGATCCAAATCCTTCAGAGTTGTGTTCTCATCGATTTCAATTTTGTCAGTAGAACGGCCTAAGGATGAACCTTTCAAATCAAATCTCCGGTGAATTCTTAATTCTGTGCAGAACATATTTCCCATTACAACAAAACGGAACTGCAAAGTTGCAAACAATAAACAAGGATTGTTACTCCATAAATAGGAATGTGAACAAGAAAAACCTCAAAAGAGGTGTGCATTAGTTGATGATTATTACCTTTTGACCACTAGAAGGTTTTACCCTGTGCAGGCCAAAAAACTTAGTTATGAGTGTGTTCTCGTAAGTATGGACATGATTATAATAGTTTGGAAGCATTCGTAAAAGAACCTGCAGAATCAGTCATCAAACATTCAAATCACACTAGCACTGCATGATATATAAATCAGTAAATCACTGAACAAGCTTATATAATGAGAGGTCCAGATAGAAAAAGGTACCTGCACTTCAGATTTCCGGAGAGTCTTAATCATGAACCGATCATCTTGTGATAGGAAGAATACACTTCCACTCTTTCCAGGAGAAGATAGCTCCCTAAGTGCAGAATTTCCACATATGGAGATCATATAATCGGCAGCATCAATCTTGAACATCTCTCTCAAGTTTCTACATAAATGATTATAGTTGATGAATGCAGCAGGAAGAAGATTACGAATTAGAAAAATAATGAGCAGAAATAACTTCACGACGTGATTTATAAGTCCAAATAACAAAATTATGTTAGGTAAGTAAACAAAAATTCAAAAGACTACATGAATCAGCATCTCACTCAGACATACATACAGGCATGAAAGGTCAATCAGTATGACGAACCTGAAAACCATGGGACAATAGTCCTTCCATTTAAAATCCTCTGCAGGATGCGAGGGAGTAAGTCGTGATCCTTCCTTTGGGAAGTTCATCCAGAAACTTGCTCTTGGACCAAAATCTGAAGCACGAACTTCACGTTTTTGAATGGGTGTTATCTTTCCAACTGTGTACCTAAACACAATAGCAAAATGAACATTACAGAACATATACATGTGAATGCCAGATGTTTCAACATCATGCTCTGTTATCAATTTAAAATGCACATGTTCCATCAGTTCCTAAGAGGCAATAAAAGCTGCTGGACTAGAGATCTGGTAAGGACCACCAGCTAGCACAGCGAAGTCTTCCACTGTTACTTTTCAGCAGAGAAATAATAATTTGTTGTCAAACTTTTGCTAGAATCGCACTATAAATGCAATTACAAGGTAGATGACTAGACTCATTTACCAGGCAGTACATGAAAAGCGAGCTATTTATCAACGCTTCAAATCATACATTCAATGAGAGGAGCAGCACTGGAGGCATTACCTGATTCCAAGCTGCAAGCTTAGCATTAGATCATAGCTTCTATGACCCTTAATTATTGCCTCTCCGGGTTTTTTAGTCTCTCTCACCGTCTTCTTCTGCCGGCGCTTTGCCTTCTTGGATGAGCCCGAAAAACTCCTGTCAAGTACTACCTCGCTGATTAGAACACCTTGCATGTATTCCCTTTCAAGTATAGGCAACTCAGAATCATCAATGTTTTCAGAGGTTTCACTATTTTCATTTCCGATGAATTTCTCAATAGCTACCTCAAGACTCCACCTTCTTTCCAAGGACACATTTCTTGAATCACTTGAGTTCCTTCTAGACGAGGCAGAGTCCCGATTTATGCCAACCTTCATATTTCCCATGTCAACTGACGAAGAGTGAAGTATGCGTGAACCATGATTCTGCCTTCTAGGGTCAGGCAGCACACCTCTGTTCCTTAGGTTTTTTATATACAGCTCATCACCAGCAGGCACTCTGCAACCACTAGGATATAATGTACCTTTCCCATCCTTCAATCCCCTGGTCCAGGTTCCGACATAGTACCCACAATCACTCCATGTATAGATACCATACCCGTGCATCATGCCATCTAACCAGTTGCCTTCGTACGAATCACCGTTTTTCCAAGTAAATGTTCCCTTTCCAGACATCTTGCCATTTTTCATATTGCCGGTGTACGTGTTCCCATTTTCCCATGTGTACTTTCCGTGACCTTGTATTTCTCCCTGAATCCAAGAACCTTGGAACATGTCTCCATTAGGATACGTCTGGCATCCGAGACCATGCTTACGGTTCAGCTTCCACCGTCCCTTGTAGACGATGTTATCCTGTCCAGTGTACGTGCCTTCACCATATATGTACCCACCGGCATACTCGCCCTCATAGCTGGCCCCGGAAGGCCACAGCGTCTTTCCTTGCCCATGCCTCATCCCCGTCCTCCACTCGCCATCATAAATAGTACCATCTGACCAGGTATACCGCCCTGAACCCTCCGGCGTGCTTCCCAACAATGTACCGGAGTAGGTATCCCCGCTGGGGAGCCTAATGTGTCTGACTCTGAAGCCGGTGTTTGTTCCTGAAGCATGTGGGTCCTGGCCATTTGCCAAAGTTGCCAGCACCTCACTCTCGATGTTGCAGCTGGCGCCTCGGAACAGATCAGCCCTTGCGGAACTGGAGACCCCTTGTAGCTCGTTCCGAAGGGCCACCGGGGGTGTCATGCATACCCCAGAGCAGGACTCGCCCGCAGAAACGGAGAAGATAGATTCAGACCACAATCTGCACAGAAGTTAGACAAGATACATCAGTGAGTAATACTTAACATCTGGTCCAGTGAAACGACGAACAGTAAGATTTTTCGGAAAACATTCTCATGAAAATAGAGATAGTCATAGGGTGAAAACTTGAGTGTACATCGAGGCTGCAACGGTAAAGCAGGCACTGAAAAGTGAAAAACCTCAGCAGAATCTGTACAAGAGCACAACACACATGTCTGAATTCTGAAAGACACGCACTGTCCCCTGAATGCCTAACTGAAACATACCCAATTCGGTCAACCACATCATGGGGCGTAAGTAAATCGAACCAAGAGACAGGGCTGCAACGCACAATCCAGCATGAAAACGTGAGCAAAAGCTGTACTGTGTACACAGGAGTGGCAGTCAGGCCCTTGCTGCGCGCGATTACCATGGTCGAAGATCAAGCTAAGAAGCCGGACTGATGATGAATTGAGTGAAAGAATCAAATCCAGAGCACGGATAAATAAATCCTTGCGGAAGACGAAAACAAAAAGCTAGGTAGAAAGAAAGCAGGGGGAAGTTGAACTGAATGGAGGATCACAGGTCCACCACCCACCAATCTATCTATCATTGGATCATATTATATCCGTACCAAAAAGTCCCCCAAGACATCAAAGTGTATCAGTGCTTAATATATCCAGAAACAAATAGGTAGACTAGAAACAGAGCCAAGTGATGGAGGAGCGTAGGGCCAGCCACCCATCCAGCAATCCATCATTGGATCATGCATACGGTATTATTTATGTCTGAATGAAAACATTAGGCTGTATAATTAGTGCTCGTCCAGAAACAAATCCCCCATGGACGGAAACAAAGAGCTAAAATAGACATGGAGCCAAGTGATGGAGGCCCACCACCGATCTATCACACCGGACCAAGCAATATTTGTTCATATCCGCGAGGAAACATTATCCGAAAAAGCGTATTACCAGTGGTCATCCACGAGCAAACCCCACACCACACCAGTAGTAGTTTTTAAAACTAGATAGTAAAACAGAGCAAGTGCCACCAATCCAATCGAACCCAATCCAACCGAATCCGTCCGTCACGGGGATCAATCGATATCCGCACCAAATCAACAGACGATTGGCTTGCTTGCCGTGGTCGCGGATGAAGGAGCAGGAGGGGATGGGAGGGGATTGGATGAAGGAACCCGGCCGGCACGACGAGCCCCCGTTCCGTTGCGCGTTTCGCATGAGTCCACGGTGCGGAGGAGGCGAAGGCGGATCGAGGCGTAAGCGAGCGGGGAGGTGGAAGGGGGTTGCCGTACCGTACCGTAGCGTAGCGGGATCAGCGGGCGGTTGCAGGCCAGGAGCGCGATTCAGGGCACCAGCCGGGGATGGGGATTCCGAGCGCGGAGGAAGACGACGCCGACGCGTGAGCCTGAGGAGGAGGGGGCCGCTGGGCTGATCGATCCAGCGGAGAGGGAATGAGGACGTGAGTGTGAAATGCGGCTAAAGTACTGCTGCCCTCCCTCGCCCGCCGCTGTTGCTGGATCTTTTAGGATTAATAATTAACTACATACACTGACCTGAGCTGCCTGCCCGCCTGCATGATTAACTACTAGTCCATGATGGGACTGGGACTTGATTTATATTCAATAATAATACGTACTAGTAGCGCACTGTGGCTTTGGCTTTGGCTTTGGCCGATGATCCAGCCAGGATCCATCCGGCGGCAGCAGGGGGCGGCTACTATTTTTTACCACCCACACACCGCCCACCCCACTAAACTAGGATCCGAGGGAGCTAACGGGTGGGTCCAGGCCCACACGTCAGTGTGTAGGCCGTACGATCAAACGAGCCGCGTCCTCTATAAAGATGGTCATAAATTTCTTTCACAAACAGTGCAACTAAACTGTCACGAATGGGACCATGTAACCCTCCTCGGAAGAATTTTCCATTTGCAATTATTATACTCCTTTCGTTCGAAAATACTTGTCATCAATTATTTTTTATTCATTTTGATGACAAATATTGTCGGACAGAGGGAGTAGTAACCAAAACTTATGAGTGGTAGTATTGTAAATTTCATTTCGTTATTCCATTGTCTCGGCATTTGTTGTTTATCCCATTCGAGGCACACTGTATATCCTATTGGCATTCGGCAGGTCAACTTGCATCCACTCATCATGAGTCAAACTATCCCCTTCAACAGAAAAAGATGTCTACAGCTCCTTCCCTCGCCACTACCCACATGCAAGTGGTCGGAATGGACGCATGAGCAAGCATGTGTCGACATCATATCACTGCCCAACAGTGGCTTCGTTAACCCGTTAGATCAGGCTTAGGACCAAGTTAACTATTGACACTACATGCGTCCTTAACATATGATCCAACAAATTAGTCGGCAGGATTGATGGATCGATATGGATCTCATGCATGCATGTATATATTCGTTTTTGTGTTCCTCGACGGTGATCTTTAATTGTGCTCCCCTTGTCTTAACGCGGAGCCATGTAGAGTTTTTGTGCAACGTCAAATGAAGAAATGTTTGGCTAGGAGTCGCGGTAAAGCCAAACATGGTATGCCACAAACTCAGACTTAATCAAGACATATTATTATCATTACGAGATTGCTAAATCTCAGTTGACTGAGACTTAGCCAAGAATCTCAGTCGATGCTCTATTCATGAGAGCTTACATGGAGAGTTGTGTAAAATTTTATTTAGTTTTTGTTGTATGTTCCTATTCATGAGAGCTTACATGGAGAGTTGTGTAAAATTTTATTTAGTTTTTGTTGTATGTTCTGTCACTCAATTGAAACTTGGTTAAATCTCAATTGACTGAGATCTAGTCACGCCCTTATCGTTAACAAATGAGCAAGATTAAGGAAGCAAAGTTTGCTATATTTGGTAACGCAGGGTAATGGCGGAGAAGAAAAGGATGTGGCTCATATTTCATGGCATGTAAATTACCGTCTGTTGATTATATTAATCGCCATCGTCATCGTTGTTATCACCACCGCCACCGTTATCTCATTGGAGATTGGAATGGAACTATTTGGATGGGTTGCTCGTCCGTCTCAATAATAAACCTCCTCATAGGTTGTTGTGTTGTTGATAGGCGGTTAAATTATGTATGCTTTGGCAATGAAAAACAAATCAGATGATATGAACTTGTAAGATATGATACTGCCGGCATCCCAAAGACCAGTTTTGTTACCTTTGAATACATACACGGTAGACATCAACATACATCATCTCCGAAGATAACTTGCTGGCAGGAGTGCGTACATATATGCTTTTTGCGAAACGGTAGATTAAACGATAAACCGGAAACAGACAAAACTTTCTGCCTAATTCATTAGTCTAGATAGCAGTGAGTTTTTTCTTCTAAAAATGAATTTAGCAACCACAGATCCATGCAATGATAGACTTCTAAATTTTATTAAATTAGAATAAGTAGTTATATGCTTACTGGTCCATTGCGACAGCGACATTGCAATCAATGGTTAATTTCTCAGTTGGCCATCCTGCCACTTGTGTGCTACACGCCAAGTTTAAATTTGTGCAAACAATTTCTTTTGCAGATGTGCGCACTATGCACAATGGCATACAATTAACACCAGCTAGGAAGCACAGATGACAGTTGGATGGTAAACACCAAACGGCGAGCCTGGTTAGCTACCAACAAGAAATTTGCAATTAGTTGCTGGTTAGCTACCTAACAGATTAGACCAACTTGTGGCAGTTCATGGTTACTTAAAATACATCTATTTTACCAAATGATTGAGCAAGAGAAAATGAATACATATGCAAGCGTACACATGCAACAAAACCGAAACAAGTGTATATACTTGGAATAAGGAACTAATCAACCAAAATAAATTATGTTCACCGATCTTTTTTCAGGGTTAAACATTCATTAATCTGTAATTACATCGCATCGATTCTGCACATCGATTGCTGAGTTAATTGACGCCTTGATTTGTTGCTCATATTGGAGTGGTGACAACACCTGGATTAATTAAATACGAGTAATCAAAAGGCATCGATCTCATATACTTTACGGGTCAGGTTGCCCCACACACAAAATATATATCTATCTAAAGTTACATATGGCAGGACTTAGAAAAGAAGAAGATTTTATTTTAGTTTTTATACAGAAAAGTCACTATCTTTTGCACTTTCGGAGAAAAAGAATGGAAGAGATAATACTCTTTGGATCTGCTTTGATTGGTCATGCTTTGTCCTTTTCGTGGGCATTTTGCAGCATACATGACACGTAGCTGGTGAACATATTCCGAAGCGCTCACACCATACAAGATTTCTCTTTTGCACCTTTTGGAATCATGGGTAGGTGTTGGTGTTTTCCTATACTCCCTCGAACCTTACAGGCTGTTGTTTTCAACATAGAGAGAGCCAAGCTTATAAAGTTCTGACTATAAAGCTTTAAATCTTTGGCTAGCTATTTTTTGGTTCATGTTTTGGCTGCCCATGATTAACCAATGTTGGTAAGAAAAATGGACTAAAATTGGAAAAAGAGCATTGGCATTGCCAAAAATTTGGTAACCTAGCTACAACAGCAAATCATATCGCGGCCTAAAAACTAATACGAGACAATCTATGATAGTACCCTTCCACCTCCACCCCAAACAATTTTCCTTTGTCTGAAGATACATGCATCTATGACCAGGTACACACATCCTGTTGTTTGGAAACTAGCCTGTTTCTAATATACTATGCATATCTCACTTTGTTTATCCCGTCCGATGCATCCTATTGGGTGAACTTGCCACACCCCATCATGAGTGAAAACTCCTCTTTCAACGAAAAGACCAGAACCATGGGGCCCACATGCCAGTGGACGTAGCACAAGAGGTAACAAGATAATTGGTATTCCAAACAAAGGTCAACATCATATATTGGCCAACAAAGGGATTGGCCAGTTAAATTAAGGTTAGATAGGGTTTAGGATGAAG